TTGTTTTTTTTAAATTTTTTATAGTACAGGGATTTTGGCCAAATTTCATCAAAAATGAAAAGGAGAGAATTCTTCAATTTTATAATTTTTCCTGATGCATATACATGTACTTATGTTGTCTAGAAAGTTTGAACTGACTCTGATCAAAATTAATTTTTTTATGAATTTTTCAAGTTACTCCAAAATTGGGCCAAAATCCCTGTACTATAGTACAGGGATTTTGGCCAAATTTTGTCAAAAATGAAAAGGAGAAAATTCTTCATTTTAATAATTTATCCTGATCCATATACATGTACTTATGTTGTGTAGAAAGTTTGAACTGATTCCGATCGAAATTACATGTACATGTAGTTCTTTTAAGAATTTTAAAATTATTCTAAATTATTATAGGATTTTTATGTACATTAAGTTTTATGTTTTTTCCAATTTCCATTACATGTATACATACAGTAGCTGTGAGTACACACACGACTACTGCACTGATAAGGAGGTTCCCTGGCTTCACTGTTGCTTATGGAGGAGGGAAAAGAGCAGAGATGAAGTTTCAACCATCAAAGATTTGTCAGCAGTTTATGAATAAACAGTTTGATGAAGTAAGCTTCATATTCCTCTTTATTAATTTAGAATTATAAAAATAATATCCTTTTCCAAATTTTAACATTTTTTGATTTAAGATTTTAAAAATAATATTCATTTCCAAATTTTAGCATTATTTTTGTTGAGAATAATGTACATGTATATACATGTACATGTATAGTGTGAATTAACCAGTTATAATGTGTACATAGTACATACATAAAGGCGTTTATGTTAATGTACATGTACATGTGTAGGTGTGTCGTATTGTGATGAAGAATAAGAACAGTCGTAGTGCAGTCATACAACAGGCAATACTACTCCTCTTGCCTCGTATTGCAGCTCTGAACTCTGAACTGTTTGCATTAAAGTGAGTGAGACCTACTCTCATGTACATGTACTGTACATATTGTGTATGTTAACTAAATGTTTAACAATAGTGATAAATAATTATAATATGAAATTCATGTACATGTACATGTACATGTACCTACACATGTATGTCTACATGCTCTGTTTGATCTAGAGGGAGTTTAGGAGACTTTAGAGGTCTTTGATACTTGGACTAGGTCTTTTTAGCTTTTGGTTTGTCAAATTTACATGTAGCCTTAAGTCTCCCATTTTTAATTAGATTTATCTTCCAAAATTTATTTCTAGATCTACTGTACATGTACATGTACTGTAACATTATACAGATTATATTATTATTATTTATTATTATTATTACACATTAAGGCGGATTTACAATATTACGCTAGTCCTGACGTTACGTTGACGCTGGAATAGAATCTGGTTCTATTCCAGCGGAAAGCATGCGTCAAAAGGTCAAACCGCCCACGTTTTTAATTAAAAATTGACGGTACGCTGGCCTAATGTCATATTGTAAATCCGCCTTTATTAATTCATTATAGTTACATGACTGGTTGTGTTGAGTTCTTGATGAGTTGCCTAAAGAAGGAGAGAGAGCGTCCAGTAGCCTTCAGAGCAGTTGGTCAAATGGTGTTAGTACTGAAGGATAGGATGGACCTTCAACCTGTCATACAGATGGTGAAAACCAACCTACCCATTGGTAAAGACGTTGGGGGAAAGTAAGTAGTTTAGTACATGTAATAATGTACATGTACATACACATGCACATGTACTTTTAT